AGTAGTATATATATATATACATGTATATATATATATATATACATATATAGATATAGATGTGTATATAGATATAGATAGATATATAGATATATAGATTAGTATATACAATATATATATATATATACATATATATATGTCAATCATAAATCCGAATACCGTGTGTACTAATTCCTTAACATGATAAAAATATAACCTATACAGATCTCCCTCAAAAACACACGCGAACGTCCATTGTTGCCGCCGAACTACAAACGCCTAACTTTCTCACATTCACTTGCGTTCCGCTGTTGACAATGCATAAAAGCCGAAAGTATCTTTTGTGGTCTGTAGATACTATTTATACACACTATTTATTGAATATACATACTATTTATACATACTAAATATACATTTTAAAAACACATATAATTTATACATACTAAATATACATACTAGTTATACATACTATTTACACATACTAAATATACATACTATTTATACATGCTAAATATACATACTATTTACACATACCAAATATACATACCATTTATGCATACTATTTATACATACTAAATATACATACTATTTACACATACTAAATATACAGACTATGGATACATACTATTTACACATACTATTAATACATACTATTAATACATACTATTTATACATTCTATTCATATTACAAAATATACATACTATTTATACATTCTATTCATAATACAAAATATACATACAAAATATACATACTATTTATACATACTAAATACACATACTATTTATACATACTATTTATACATACTAAATATACATACTATTTATACATACTATTTATACAGCTGATCACTCCTTAGAATCGTACGAGGCATTTTTATGTCCCTGTGTGCCACATTCAGTTAGTGACAGTACACTACAACCAGAATTTATGTGTGTTTTATGTACGCTGTATGTGCAACTTATCGCCCAAATAACTCACCATCTATCCCCATACACTCCCAAGTATCAAATCAATCTCATGTTCATTCTCCGTCTTACTCCCACAGTTACCTACCTGGCTTTATGTCTCTGTGTGCCACATTCAGCTGGTGGCAGTAGAGGACCGCTGACAGTATCTGACAGAAGAGTTTCTTGGCTTTCTTCTCCGGTACAGCCCCTTCTTTCTCCACGTAATCGTATAGATCACCCCCCGGCGCATACTCCAGTATGAGAAACAGGTCATTAGGCGTTTCTGCTACCTGTTATGAAGCAGAATCAGACATACGGAACATTGAGTAGGGGCATGGTATGGGTATGCGATGGGCTAGAGTTTAGGGTTTCACAGCTCATGGATTGTCTCGGTTATCTGATACGTACAATACACAAATAGAGACACATACGAACAGTAAGTGTGCGCATCGTGCGAGTGTATAACGTCAGGCCATTAGTTGGGTTTTTTCATCTGATCTGATGCAAATTAGATGTGCAAATATCAAGAGAGTGCACTGTAACATATTTGAGAATTAGGTTCATTCGACGTTTCTCCTACCTCTAATAGAATGATACCGAACTACACATACAATCATGATGTGTATACTATGATTCGACGTTTCTCCTACCTCTAATAGAATGATACCGAACTACACATACAATCATGATGTGTATACTATGATTCGACGTTTCTCCTACCTCTAATAGAATGATACCGAACTACACATACAATCATGATGTGTATACTATGACGTCATCGAGTAGGAATTTTTTCAAGCAGCGAAGACTTCCAAACACTACCATACATCGAACAGGGTCAACACACGAGAATGCAACGAATAACGTCACAAGACAATTGAGTTGAGCAGTGTATGGCGTCATTCCGTGTATAGGACTAGAAAGAGACGGAACTGAAGGAGCATGTTTCACATGATCGCAGCACTCCGTAGGCCTTTCGTCTACAATAGTCCAGTTCACCTTAATTGGCTCTCGTCATGTCACAAGACAGGCACAGCGTATAGACACCACAGATATACGTAACAAGATCGTAAATATACATATGCGCACTATATACATTTCAAACGCGCACTATATACATTTGTTGTGAAGGCATATATGCAATGTGACCTGCACATGCGGTAGGTACAGGGGTTTGCATGACGTCACTACAAAATGACGTCATTACGACAGATATCCGTACAAGAAAGATACAATGAAATATTCCAAACGCCTTGCGGTAAGGTATCGCCAAGCTTGCTCGCCACATGCATAAAACTTACAACGCGAAAGTTATAGAGGATGACGTACTTACAGACTACACAGGGGGGCACAATACACTGGCGTATGACGGGATATATATATATAGATGTGTGTGTGTGTGTGTGCCACAGGCAAGCATGCATAACACGCCGCCTTTGCGGATTACCATACAGATAATAGGCGACTTTGAAGACTTTCACGTCAGACCTGAGATTTGCCAAATGATGTCAATGATGACGAAATCATACTGGGAGGCACCAGATTGAGTCATTCACGGCCATCACAATATTGACTACCACAGCACGAAACTCTGTATAGAATATGATAAGTAAACAGCACGAAACAAGAAGCCACTATGCGGTCTAAATAAAACGCTATGGAATCATATGGATATGAAGACTTGAGACATAAGACAATAAGAACACTTAACATGTAACGGCCTTTATGAATTATGTGGAATGTGAATAGCTCACATTCATTCCCAGAAAAGGTTTCCCCGAGTACACAGATTATATGAGATTTCCCCCAACTACATAGATTATATATGTTTTCCCCAAGTACACAGTATAAATGTTTCCCCAACTACATAAATTATATATGTTTTCCCCAATTACATAGAGTATATATGTTTTCCCCAAGTACACCGATTATATATGTTTTCCCCAAGTACACCGATCATAGAAGCTTTCCCCAAGTACACCGATTATAAAAGTTCTCTCCATTACACCGATTATATATGTTTTCCCCAACCACATAGATTATATATGTTTTCCCCAACTACATAGATTATATATGTTTTCCCCAACTACATAGATTATATATGTTTTCCCCAAGTACACCGATTATAGAAGCTTTCCCCAAGTACAATCGATTAGAAAAGCTTTCCTCAAGTACACCGGTCATAACTTTCTTCCCCAAGTACACAAATTATAGAAGTTTCCTCAAGTGTACAGATTATAAAAGGATTGACATTTGTCACAAGGCCGTGTTAATTGTCGCTAGTGGGCATTAAGATACACCCACCTCGTATAAACTGATGACGTGCGAATGCTTGAGCAGTTTCATCACCCTTATCTCCAGATACAAGCGTTCCTTAGTTAGTTCGTCGTGCAATTGGCCCTTTGTTATTTGTTTCACGGCCACAAGTTCCTGCAGTAAAAGCGTGGTCGAGGACAGGAATTAATTAATTAAAGTGCTCACTGGGTGATACATGGAGTATACGTTCATCGGTACACAGGATACCATACCTCACCGCAATTTATACAACCGACTAATGCAATGTTCAAGACAAAAGAATCATACCTAACGTATATGGATCCTCACGTACATGGATATACACACAAACGCAAACACAAACACAAACATTAATATATATATATATATATCATAATATGCATGTATAATATATATATATAAATATATAGACTGAGTCATATACATACACACACACACACACACTATATATATA